AACGCCCTTTATTTGGTAAACATATTTTTTTACTTTTTTATAGGCTGTCTCCGTCCTAGAGAGGCATCATATTCGAGTAGGATTTTCCATTTTGAACGCAACTGGTCTTCTCAAGCATCTGGATCAGGCTACTTGGTAAGGCTTCTATTGACACAGGGAAAAACTGGGTTTGGGAGAAGTCCTCAGCAATTTATGACTTCCTATTTCGAAGGAAAAGTTGGTTGGAAGGAATTCATGTAATGGTCTCATCGGAAACCAAAGTAGGATGGTCGTGAAGCAACATTCGTCCTTTGAACCCGATGAACCTGTTCTAAGCTTTCGTCTGTATCGTGATAGGCATCCCCATAGCAAGAATTAATACTCTAAGTAGCCCAAAAAATATATCAAAACCAAACGAAAAGGTGACAAGTTGCAACCCTAGTCACTTTTTAGATACCTATCCTTGCAATCTTAGTGAAGCATCTCATGTTTTAGTTGGCTATCTAACACTTATTCTACATGCTTGCAGATGAGTAAGGTTAATTCAACTCGGTTGCGGATTTTGCTATCCTCTCATCTTACAAAAAATTATGTGAACTACTAATAAAGTGGAATATCAGGACAATTTATAAATAGAAATTAACCCCTTTCTTCAGTTGTGTCTTCCTTCCGAGAATTCTCGGGCCATCTTTTTAGATCAGGCGATTGCAAGGTTTTGTGTTCATGCGGTAATGTCTATGTGGCAGAGACCTGCCGACGCAAAACCGCTTGTAAAGATGTATGTGGCCAAAATCTGAGCTTGCTGAATGAATGGCTGATACAGGACTCCCAATAGACTGGCCCAAAACAACGTTTTGCTAGTAACGGGACTTTACATCAAAGTATAGGATAATGGAATTTATAGCAAACAACACAATAACAAACATCCTTAATAGGAGTAATGAGTGTAGAAAATTTAGTAGGAACTATTTATGGCCATTGGATAGGCTTAAGAAGAGGGAGAGGGAGGGAGAGCATTGAGAGCATCTGAGCAAGAGAAGGGGGTTGGAATAGCCTCTAGGCTAGTTAGTTCTATCACACCTCTCATGACAGTGCATACACTCATTAGACAATAGAATATGCCTAAACATGAGTTAACATTAGACGATTGTACGCTATTTTATGTAGAAAAACTGGGTTTCTAAGAATTCCTAAATGAATTATTGTGACATGACTCCATTTCGAAGGAAAAGTTGATTGGAAGGAATTCGTGATGTGGTCTCACCGGAAACCGAAGGAGGATTGTGGCGTAGGGAAGACTGTTGAATTGTGCGAAGAAATCCTCGGCTCACAGTTTCCTCCGGATCACAGAACGGTGAGATGAGGACTTCTACGCACAATCCAACAGTCTTCCATACGCCACAATCCTCCTTCGGTTTCCGGTGAGACCACATCACGAATTCCTTCCAACCAACTTTCCCTTCGAAATGG